CTAGTAGGATAAGGGAGGCCCTTAAAGGGGAGCCCTTTATGTCTCTGTTAAACAGGGACCTTATTCAGAGGGTCTATATCAAGGGTCCCCCCAAACCTATCCCCTAGAAAGTACACGAGCCTCAATCATTGCCAAGAGCATTCCTGCAGAATCTCCGTGCACAGAACGTGGTTTAGGCTACCCCAAATTCCGATTCAAAGTGTTTTTTGTCCCCTTTCCCTGCTGACTTCTGCATGCATGCGCAGGTGAGTTCCTCCTGGAGGACATCTATCCCTTTGGCCAGCCGATGCAGACCACGCCCGGCAAGACGCGTGACAGGCCGAGCCGGCGTTCAGTTTTTTTTGTTTCCCTTTCTGGGTTTAGGGTTGTAGGTCATGTTCTTAGGTTTTCGGGTTTCCTTTTTGGGGGTTTGGATTCGGGGCTTAAAACTTAGGGTTCTGGGGTTATCATTCCCTAGACCCCGAACCCGAACCCCAAACCCCAAGACCCCGAAATCCTAAATGTAAACTCATCGACTGGCAGCTACCGAAGTCCTTAAAGCTAACCTCAGGGTCAGGGTTTAGGTTTTCCGGGGCCTCGTGTTTTAGGGTTTATGGGTGTAAGGGTAGGGGTTTAAGGATTTTGGGGTTTATCCTTTGAAATAGTTCAGAGGCTTGGTGGGTTTAATCACCTCCCCTTCTTGTCAAAATCCATTTCCAACACCAATTTGTTATCATTGCTGAAATTCACACAGAGTGGCGCCTTCTGTGCTATGAACTTCCCGACTCCCAAAACACCAAAGTATAGTGCCACGCTACTTGAAGTGCGTCGGTACGTGTAGGCTTTATGCGCACCCCAGCTCAGCCCTGAACCCCGGATTCCGACACCCTGAATTCCTAACTCCTAAACCCTAAACCCTAAACCCCATGACCCTTCAAGTAAAGCCTCGGGTTACTTGGAGCTCCCACGAGGGTGTTTTGGGTTTTGGGCGTCCGGTTTGTAGGGTTTTGGGTTTTGGGCTTATAGGTTGGGATGTTCCCCCTTACACTAACAGTCTTTAGTAGGGATTATAAATCTGGGGTACTCGAATGCCGTTTAAGGACTGTTAGTACAAGGTGGGAACATCCCAACTTATAGGGTTTGATGGCTAAACCCTAAACCCTAAGCCCTAAACCCTAAACCCTAAACCCTAAACCCTTAACCCTTAACCCTCGCCACTCGTCACTCCCCAGGAGGGCCAGTGTCGGTGGCAGCGCGGAAGCCTCCCTCCAAGGAGAGCGGATACGCCGAAAGACACAGGTGGGGGTTTAGGGTTTGCTGTTTTGGGTTTAGTGTTTGGGGTTTGGGGTTTAGGGTTTGGGGTTTGGGGTTTAGGGTTTGGGGTTTGGGGTTTAGGGTTTGGGGTTTGGGGTTTGGGCCCCTCAACAGGGAATTTGGGGAAATTGGGCACCTGATATCCTTCTATGCAAGCCCTTAAAGGGTTTGAAAGCACAACCCTATGTCCATGATTCCCTACTCAGAACTCGCATGTTTGGGGTTTGGGATTTAGAGGGTTTGGTGCTCCAATCATCAGCGGCGATTGGGCTCGGCGGCGTTTTTGATGTTTCTACTCTGATTCAGGGCAAGCTACATGGAACCCTTCTTATAGCCCCCCAATTTTCGAGAACTATCCTTGGAACCTGAAGTTTGGGGGCTCCTGGGGGTGTCTGGGATTTTCAAAAACCGAGGCCAATCTCCAAACTCCAAATTCCAAACCCTGAGCTCCAAACCCCTAAACCTCCATGCCCCAAACCCTACTTTGAAATCCCTACATCACCCCAACCCCAAACCTAAGGAGCTCCCTTCATCTCTAAGCCCTGCGCACAACCTAAGCCCCCAGACCTTAAAGCCCTGAAACCTCAAAACCCCCGAGCCCTCAAACCCCAAACAAGATCGAAAGCCCTAGGGCCCTTAAGTACCTACACCCCCCAAGTCCTCAGATGATCCGCCTCACAGAGCTACAAATTCATAAGCACCCAAGCCACTGAGTAGGGCGACGGTTATAACTGATCATCCCCCTACTTCAGGAAGCTGACTTGCAAACATCTATGAATCTTTAAATGCTGTCGCCCGACAGAAGCAAGTACGCCCGAAATGGTTTCTGGCCAGGCAGCCCAAACCGACGGACCTAGACGAACCGGTTACCTTCTAAAGCCCTGCACTCTTAAATCCTAAACCCCAACCCCCAACCCCCAACCCCAAGCTCTAAATCCTACACCCTACCTCGAGACTGAAAACCCCTGAGCAAGGGATCCGAAGGGTACCGCTTACAGGAGGGCCCTTACTTCAGAACCCTTTGAAGAAGGGATCATATGAAGGGACCATGTAACTACCCTTAGAATGCAGAGCAAGTCGCCAAGTACTCTCCACCCCCTACTATACCTAAAGGTTGATTCTGTTAAACTTACCAACCCTAAACCCTAGAACCTAACCCTCATCAACCCTCACCCTAGAACCTTGTGAAGTTAACCTAAACCCTAAACCCGAAACCCGAAACCCGAAGCCCTAAACCCTAAACCCTGAAGCCCCAAGCAATCCAGGCCCCCGAGACCTCGTCCACATGGGGGAGCTTGAGGAAGGGCTTTGGCCTTGAGTGAGCAGCCCAAGCCGTGACCCTTACTAGACCCAGAACAAACCTAGAAATGAAAAGGGTGCCCTTTTTGGGTTACATTGCCTTTCAAGGGAACCTAAACCCTACAAAAAGCGAATAAGGGGCCTACTCTGGGCCCTAGCTTAAGCACAGAGGACCGAAGTGGGACTGCAAAGTAGGAGCTATAGTTTCAGGTAGGCTCTTGACAATAAACCCTCCTACCCTGAACCCTAAACCCCAAACCCTAAACCCCCATACGATCTTTTGTTTCTTTTTTTGGTTCTGGCTAACGTAACCAACCCCAAAAAGGGTACCCTTACTGTAGTATGGTGAGCCCTAAACCCCAAGCCCTAAACCCTAAAACCCCAAACCCTAAACCCTAAACCCCAAACCCTAAACCCTAAACCCCAAACCCTAAACCCTAAAACCCCCCAGAACCCCCCAAACCCCAAGACCCGCTCGGCTGTAGATCTCACGGCCATCGGCCTGTTGGCCCCCTGAGCGCTTTGGGCCCTGGCCAAGGCGATCTCAATGCCACACCCGGACATTGTATCAAGACGAGCTTGTTTTAGGGTTTAGGGTTTAGGGTTTAGGGCTTAGGGTTTAGGGTTTAGGGTTTACACTGGTTTTGGGGCTCGAAGTGGGTTTTTGGGATGTTTCGGGGCCTGATCGGTCGATGTTCCAGGGGGCTTGGGGGGTTGAGGTTGAGACTCCGGTGCTTTTGGGCGTTTTAAGGAGGGGCAGTGGGGTTCCGGCTTCTGCTGCGAGTCGGTCGTGGATCTTGGGGACCCAAATGCTGTCAGGCACCCTGAACGGGCTCATGGCCCACATGCCACACACCTTCAGCAGCATAGCGTGTAGGATCCCAATTTGGGGTTCACTTTGTCATGTAGTGTTTTCTGTGCAATCGACACTGTGGCACTTGTTAGGGTACTAGGTGTAATTCTGGTACGAGGCTTCTTGGATTCTTGCCGGCCTAAACCAGCTGGTTCAGCTCCCATCTTTTCGGGTCTGCATGGCCTTGACCCATGCCAGGCTTTAGTGGTAATGCCCCTGCCAGTCTCGCGATCTGTCCGAGGGCACCAGGCCCTCAATGTAGACTTTCCATTTGCGAGACTGGCTTTTCTTGGCTCCAGTCCTCTCATGCCAGAGCGCCTCCTGCCGGCTTGGCCACCCGTTCACTAGCGAGGGCCGGCGCCTTCGATTCGAATCCCACACCCTACGCCCTAAGCTCTGAACCCTGACCCCTAAACCTTCAGAGCCCCACAGCCCTTGAATCCAAGATTTCAAAGTCCCGGCTCCCGACACTCTGCACCGCTGCGAGAATGGAGTGGCCCCAAATCTTTCAACACGAGACATGTCGTTCAGGGTTTAGGGTATCATCTCCTTTGGGCCGATAGGATGAAGAGCCTGCTGTTTGGTCTGAAAATGCTGGTCTCAAAGAATCTTCTTCAGATGCCACTCGCCCAAAGAGCATCCCAGGAGTTTCCAACGACACTGCATCCCTAACAGGCACACCCCGAAGATTCCGGAGAATCTCAAAAGTTCCCACCCCTGGTATCCCAACACCGGATCCTGCACAGTATCCCTATCCCTGGGGCGCCAGTTAGTTCTGGGGCGGAGAATCATGGAAGTGAATATTCTTGCATGACAGGCTACAAAGAGTGCAAGTATTCACCATAAGCACGAAGCCCTAATCCATGGAGCCAAACATGATTTTTGCATGCACGTGAAATTCAGTTGCCGCCTGCTGCGGGCACATCCGCCAGTGGGCTTAATTCGATACTCCCCGCCAGCACTCGAGCGGTTGAGAGGTGGAGGGTTTTGGGTCGAAGGCAGACAGCCCTAACCCTAAATCCCTTAAGCCCTTGAGCGCTGAACCCTAAGCCCGAGAGCAACTTGAGATACCAAAAGGCTCGGTCAGGGCTGCGAGTGCAAGGGGGGGCTGCTTCCAAATCTTTGCACGCGAGCCTCCGCTGACTTGGAGGCATTCGGACACAGGTTGGCGCAACAGGACAAACAAGAGACGCGACACACGGGGATTGCGCCCCCTATAGCAGATATGCCATGTAGAGGTTGGGTGCCTTACCCCCAAAAGAGAGGATTCCCCACTGTTCTATGCCCACATGACATTCACAGATGCGGTGGCCACGTGAGGGCGGTGCGATGCGGACAGCTAGTCTGCCAAGTTGCATGAGCAAGAAGTCCTGGATAGAGGCCCCAGGTTCGACATATTTGCTGTCCCGCAGCCATCTCTGTCGAGGGATGCCCGGAAGGCTGAACCAGAAGCGCCTGCGAAGGGGGGTTCTTGGTGCTGTCTAGGGTTCTCTGGGTGTAAGCGGGTTTCAAGGGGTCGCAGGGCAAGGAGCCCCTTCAGGAAACAGCAGGAGTCATGGAGCAGCCAATGGATCGGGCGACATCCCTCGGCGCAGCGGGCGCTGGACCTCTGGGAATGCCGGTGCCGCCTGATGACTCATGCAGGCCACACTCTGGGCGCTAACGGCACTTCACTTCATGGGGTTGAGATTCGGTGGGGCTTAGGGAGGGACAGGATTCGGAGTTCTGGGCTTTCGACCAGTCAAAATGCACAGGGGTTCGCACATGAATAGGGAGGAAGTTGGACTTAGAAGCCAAGGTTTGGTATCAGTTTCTTGGGGTGGAGGTCAAACCCTGAAGGCTACAATGACAAGCTCCAAACTTGAGCTTTCCTTCTGAGAGAGGTTCCTCTTGCAAGATCATTGCATCCCTGCTCCGGGAGCAGAGAAGTCGCCAAGATACCAAACCCGAGAGATCTCGAGAGTTTCGTTCTTAGGGAGTTAGTCTGGACCTGAGCCAAGGCAAGCTGAAGAGAAGGCAGTGAAGGCCACTGTTCTTCGACGTGAACCTCATCTGAGTTCTGTGGTGGTTTCAAGAGTCATTGGCATGAGGGTCGGGTTTTTGGGAGATCGGATTGCGCAGTCGCGATGTGTTCAAAAACAGGGGAGAAGCCCGAACCAGCATTTGGAGACGGGAGTGCGGACTGGGGGACCACAAGCGGGAGTTGGGAGGATAAGCCCTAACAGGCTAAACCCTAAACCCTAAACCCTAAACCCCAACGCCTAAACCCGAAACCTCAAGAAGCCGTCAAGTTCAACCTGACCCCCGTGTTGGGACCAGAAAGAAACCTAACCCTAAACCCTATAACCACTAGAAATGGGGAGTAAGAAGCATGCCAGCTGGGGGTCCAGACGTATTGTTTCGGGTTTAGGGTCCATCGTCCACGCACGGTGTGCACAGAATAGGCTTTTGAGGTTGAGACTTTTCCTTCAGGTGATCCTTCCAACTTCGTGACGCAGCCTACTGAACTACATGTGTGCAGAGCGGGCACAGAGCCGATGGTTGTGTTTCCGAACTACACAGCACCACACCCATGGGCGAATCACTCATGTCTGACTTTCTCAGGACGTGGAGAAGATGGAAGCAGATCAGGTGGAGAAGACTGAAGCAGATCAGGAGTACTTGAATGCATGGTTTGGGGATCACTACACATTGACTTTAGTTTAACCGGGGCAGACTTCACTACCGGCGTTCCGCGCATGAATTAGTTTAGAGATTAAGGTGGCTATGGGCTCTGAATCTTACGTGTTAAGTTCGGCGCCGTTGTTGCTTCGTGTCGGTCGTTGCCGAATCGTTCGTTGGCTGATGTTCGGGCCGGGTCGTTTAAAGAGCTCGCGATCTGTCAGGGCACCCTGTAGAGGTCTGACCTGACCAGCCCCGAATCGGCTCAAACATGTCTTTGAACCTCGAACCTCTACAACACCACCTCTTCAGGAGAGTCGGAGGATTGCAAACTTCGAGGCAGAAGAGGAGATGAAGTGCAAGGCCGAGGAGGAGCCACAGAAGGCCGAAGAGGAGAAGGAAGAGGAGTCACTTGCCTGCAAGTCTAGACCGTTTGGAAAGGGAGAAAGAGGAAGACACGAACACAAGACAGCTTAGATGTACCTCTGACTTCCGCCTGGCCGCCTGGCCGCCTGGCCCCAACCCATGTCGCCTCCTTGTTCCTAGGATGCAGCGCAAAGTAGATCGCCGGAAGTGGCGGGAGATGAGGGAGAAGATGCCAGCTGAGAAGGCTCATGGCTCGAACTCGGGAATGTGTGTAGGGCAGGACTTGAGCTTGGGTTTCAGAGCTTGAGCTTGTAGGCAGGGTTTGGGCGTAGGGCCGTAGGGTTCGAGATGTTGAGAAGAGTTTTGGGGTGCCTAGCAAAGTTGACGGCAGTGATTCGGCTCGCCTCATAGCCAGCAAGCACTCGGTCCTACGCGGGCCTAGCTTTGAGATTAATTAGTGTTGAACCTGGATTTGTAAGCCCAAAGCCCACGGGGGGGGGGGGGGGAAAAAAACAAAGCCCAAGAATCCAAGAGCCCTCAGTGCCCCAACGCCGAAACACGGAACCTTAAATACCCGAAAAACCCCTTAAAAAAACTATTGAGCCCCCAAAAACACCACCCCTACCCGACAGTCCAATGACAGGTGACTGTCGCAGCCGAGGCCATGCGAGTGCAGGCCCAGGCAGCCACGAACGGTGGGACAACTAGGGTTTAGGGTTAGGGTTTAGGGTTTAGGGTTTAGGGTTTAGGGTTTAGGGTTTGGGGTTTGGGAGTTAGGGTTTAGGGTTTAGGGTCTAGAGGGGCTTGGGGTCGCCCTCAGCCCATCGAAACTCCAAATCACAGTTCCAGCACTCAGGACCCCCAAGAGGTACCTCCTATGTAGGGACTTTGTGGTCCAAGTATATAATAGTGAGGTACATGGACCCCTTAGGGGACTGTTTGCTCCTTTGACCACTTCCCGAAGCACGACAACTCAAGGCCCGATCCTTGATCTGTAGAGTAGCTTCACTGAGGTGCTCCTATATCTGCAACCTCTGAAGATTCCTGAAGATGACATGGCCCCCTAAGCCCTAAACCCGAATCCCTAAGCCTGAAGTACTGGGAAGGGCAGAAGCACCTGTTGGACAAGTTAGGTCCAAGGTGTACTTGCTGAGTCCCAAATTTCTCAACCTAAACCCTAAACCCTAAACCCTAAACCCTAAACCCTAGACCCTAGACCCTAAACCCTAAACCCTATTTGCAGCCGAAAGGAGGCGCGCCATGCAAAATTCGAACATCTTCGGCAGAAGGCAAGCTGCGCTTTCGTGTTCGGGTTTAGTGTTCGGGGTTTTGGGGGCTGTGTCGGACAGGGGGCCGTGCACTGTGCACAGAGTATAATTTGAGGGTGAGATTTTTCCTTCAGGTCCTTTAAGCTTTGAGTCTAAGTTTGTGACATAGGCACATCCCATGGTGGTGTTTCTGAAGAACACAGCACCCACGCCCATAGGCTGCTCATGGCCGAACTATCAATGTCTACGAGCTTTCCAGGAGGTGGACAAGATGAAAGCAGATGAGGAGTGCCGGAAGGCTGGCCAGATGCTGAGCTGGAGAGCACGTTTAATTCAAGCAGCACAAAGTTCACCACTACGGTCCCTATAGAGTTTGGGGTTTGTTTGGTGTCAGGGCTCAGAATCTTGTGTGTCGGATTTGTAAGGGTCTCTAGCGTTTCACAGATGTAGGCCAAAGACTAAAGGCAAAGGTTCGTTGGCGCAGGTTTGGTGAGGAGTCGCTTAACTAGGGGTGTGGGTCCTTTGGGAATCCTCGTGTCGACCAGCCCCGAGTGGGCTTCCCACAGCGTGAGCGGGTTGCTTGCGCAGTCTTAGGCACCTGGAGGGTCCACTTACGTAGCCGACTTTGCGTGTGGCAGGGGTAGTGTTTCTTGAGGTTGTGACGCGCGAATCATTGGATGTTGCGGCTTTGCTACTATGGACTTGCCTGCAACAACGAGAAAATGCGACACACACACACACACACAACACACACACACACACACACACAACACAACACACACAACACACACACCACACACACACAACACACACACACACACACACACAACACAACAGACACACACACAGACACAACCACACACACAGACACCACACACACACACACACACACACACACACAGACACACACACACAGACACACACACACACTCACACACACACAGACACACACACACACACACACACACACACCACACACACAGACACACACACAGACCGACACACACACACACACACAGACACACCACAGAACACACACACACACACACACCCACACACACACAGACACACACACACAACAGACACACCACACACACACACACACACACACAGACACACACCACACACAACACACACACACACACACACACACACACAGACACACACACACAACACACACACACACACACACCAACACAACACACACACACAACACACAACACACACACAGACACACACACACACACACAGACACACACACACACACAGACATACACACAGAACACACACAGGGACACACAGACACACACACACACACACACACACACACACACACACACCACAGACACCACAGACCACACAGACACACAACAGACACACACAGACACACACAGACACACACAGACACACACAGAGACACACACAGAGACACCACGAGACACACACAGGACACACACACAGAGACACACACACAGACACACACACAACAGACACACACACACACACACACAACACACACACACACACACACACACACACACACACACACACACACACACACACACAGACACACACACACACACACACACACACACAACACACACACACACACAACACACACACACACACACACACACACACACACACACACACACACACACATACACACAGACACACACACACAGACACACACACAGACACACACAGACACACACACAGACACACACACAGACACACACACACACAGACACACACACACAGACACACACAGAGACACACACAGAGACACACACACAGACACACACACAGACACACACACAGAGACACACACACACACAGACACACACACACACACACAAACCAGGATCGGAAACGGCGCTGACGTACTGCTATTCACGATGTTTTCGAGGGGCACCCTTCCGAAATGCATCCGACTAGCTTAGGGAGCAGGTGTTCAGGCTGGCTGGACATCCATGCAGCCTGATCGGATCACCCGTTGCACTGGCAAACGTACTGAGCCAGATCGAGAATACTGTCAGTCACAGTCATAGGAGGACAAGAGAGGTTCTCTTGCCATGTCTAGCTAGAGTCTAGCTAGATAGTCAGTCTGACTGAGTCGTTCATGCTGCCAACGAGTCTAAGTCATGACTGACCCTAATTACTTCTTAAACTCTCATTCTCTTGCCGCCAGATGGAGCAAGCTATGCGCCAGCAAGCAGAGGACCGCTGCTCGGTATCGCTTGCATTCAATGCTGAGCAATCCCAAACTCCTCTTTGAGGTCGCCCTGCTTTAAGGGTATGGGGCAGTTTAGGGTTTAGGTAGTCAGTCCTAGCCACGACCATCCACTTGCTAGAGGTACAGCCGCCTAGCTCTTGCAGGCTTTCGCGGAAAGCTCGCTGCAACTAGATCCGCAACCCTGTAAGCCCAAACCCTCATGTGGCAAACATGATCCCCCTCAGCTCTGAACAGTGCTTTGGGGATTTTGCCGCAGGTACCCCCAATCGTCATGGCCGTGGCCTCGCCCTCCAGAAGAAGCTCTGCACTGTGCTCTACACACAGGATCCGCGTGATGTAGGGGCCGAGGGAGCATTTGAAGTGCAGAGACTAGAAAGGCCCGGATTGGCTGAGCATGTGAAGTAGGAATCCAGCACCCTAAACCCTAAATCCTCAGCCCTAAATTCTCCAGTCAGCTAAAATCTGTCACGGATACCGTCTCTGGCTTTTACTCCCAAACCTCTCTGCACCCTCCTAAATGGCGACTGTTGGAATAAGGCTGCGGCACGCCATGCGAGCTCTTGAGCGTCTTCAACTTTCATTTGGCTAACTGGGCCGGCTTTCAGTCCGTGTGAAGGGGACACAGTGTAGAGGCTCATGTTGCAGTAGCGCCTTGGGATGTAAACCCTACAAAGCTTCACCCTAAGCCTTATAAACCTGAACCCTTGTGGAGGGGGATCCGGGTCACTTGCAGGAGGCAGCAAGCGATGACGGAGGACCTGTCTGTGTGCGGCCCTTGCCGCCTTTGAGCCCTAATCCACAGCGCGTTCACTGTATAATACATAATACTGAAATACTACCAAGATTTCACCGCATAGTACAAGAAGAAAAGAATTTCGCAGAACAATATCATATTCGGTGTTTGGGCGGCTTTTGCATGGTCCTGCTCACTGGTTTGGGGTGATCACGGTCTTGAGGCTCGACTTGACCCCCTTCTTCATGCCAAAAGCCCTTTGTGTCGAAGTATGGATCGGAGTCTCAGGCGGCTAGAAGTAGTGCAGCATCCCGTTGAAAGTCGTGCTCCCCCAAAACCTGACTTCTGAAGATTAGAGTTTGAGCAGCGAGCTTTGACATCCACAACTCCGAACCTCTCTCGGCAAAAACGAGTTTGAGGGAGCCCCACATTCACAGCAACATGGCTTTTTTGGTTCTGTGAGGACGACAGCGCATCGGCGACTTGCACGTATGTTGAAGGAGCTGTTGGAATCTCGCAGGCAGTGCTTACAGGAGAGCCTGTCGTGTTTCCCAGGGCAGATAAGAAGCCCAAGCAGACCACTCTTACTCTCTGTGCTTCAGAAAGCATTGAATTTTCATGGCTCGTTGTGTGCTGTGGCGTTTTCAAATCGTTTTCAGCTGGGCTGAGGAAGCAGCTGTGCTGTGGTGGCGCGACAGCGAGAGCGCCAGCTGATGGAAGCAAGGATCAGGGTGCTGGAAGCGGAAGCGGCCAGAAGGCCCGGACGTTGACATCAGGCTTCGTAAGTTTGTTTGCTCGGTCGTTCGTGTTGCTGCCTACAGCTGCAAGCGCTCACATAGCCAATGCGTCTGCATCGCTGCCAGGCAGAAGGAAGTCTCTCACCTGGTCCAGGCACTGATGTGCAGGAACAGACAGACCCTTGGATTGCAATCCGCAATCCACACGTCTAGCTGAGAGCCGGACCTTAGTTGTAGAGTAGGTAACCTTTAACCTTTTTGGGGCAATAGAATCCCCTTATAATCCCAAAGGTTAACCTTTAGTTCCTTCTAGGTACTGGACAACTAGGGGACAGTGGCAGTCATCTTTGCATTGTCAGTCTGCATCTCAGGGTGGATGGTTCCATCGATGTGCCTCGTGCTGCAAGTGCTGCGCTGCGGTTTGCAGTAGCTGGCATGTACAAAAGGCTCCCCACCGAGGCCCACCCACCCCCCCCCCCCCCTCCCCAGCCCACTCCCCGAGCCCCCGACTTCCTCGGCTCCCCAGGTTGACTGGGGTGGCAAGAGCACCCCTCGAGTAAGCAATGCAAGGCTCGTCAGGGTCCTGGCCTCGGCGGGGTTCGGGTTTCGCGCTTAGGTCTCTTGATTTAGCGGGAGAATCTCTTACGCAAAGACACACGAGTATGCCTTCCAAATCAAAACCGGGTTCTCGTTTTTAGTTTCGTGTCGTTTCTATGACCGATAACTACAGACGGGTTAGCAATGTGGTGATTGCTGTGGGCAGTCGAAAATGTTATGAAGTATATGCACTATCTTGTTATCGTCGCTTGACGCCTGGATGCTTGAGCGTCCGTGGCACCGAATGAGAATGATCATGCGCAGAGTTTATGCTTAAAATAATAGCCTTCGACAGGGTCTCGAGCGTACAGATGACATTCGCTTGCCCCTAGAACTTTCTAGAACTCCCGATTTCAAGATTGCAGATCCACAGGCATAAGGACTCCAGACTCGGCGTTTAGGACCCAAATACTAATACAAGTACGTATGGATATATATAATATATATATATATATACACATATTTTTTATACTCACATTTAGACTTTTGGTTGTTCGTTTACGCACTTCTGCAACAGGGCTCTCAAGGTTGGAGGGGGACGGGCGCTGCAGCTGCAACGAATCGCAAGAGCCGGGGAATTCATGTGCGTATTCAGAGAGCGCCGTTAATGAAGTTTCTCAAATCTTTGGCTTGCCGACCTGTTTTCACCCGACAGCCTTAACAGACACTATAGCCTGGAGGAGGCTCCCGTGCAGCTCCGTGCAGGCGGGAGTGGGAGGTAAGAAAGCGACCTGTTTCCTGAGGATTCATTGAGCTGTTTCTGGGTTTCACGGTTTAGGTTAGGCAAGAATGGTCTCAGCTAAGCACTCGAAGTCCGGAATAGTGGCCCCATGCGTTCACGGCTTTGTCCTGCGCATGGTGCGCTCGCACTTGTTGGGGCATCATGCTGCGAGAAATCTTCCGTAAAAACCTGGCTTTGGCAACCCGAAAGCTTCTCCCGGACATGTTCGGCTCCGGAGTTCTGCTGGTCTGAGTTGCAGATGAGGTTACCATGTTGGGAGAATTTGTCTTTATTGCCTACTGTGCGTCTCCATCAACTTCTTAAGTTACTTGGTAGCCCAGCGGTAGCCTTTTGCCCTTTTGTTGGTTCAAGGTTCCCTTGTAAAGTAACCAAGCCAAAAATGGATTATCTTATTGTGATATGGTTACTGGGCTACCAGGTTAAGTTCCTGAACAACCCAGAAGTACGTGCCGTCGAGCAGGCCTGGTGAAGTCAATCGAAGAATCTCTCCGATGGTGTTTAAGTTTCTGGGTGGGCCCCACGGCAACCCTTGCACCCTAAACCACAAATCTAGGGTTCAGGGTTTAGTGTTTAGGGTTTAGGGTTTCGAGTTTAGGGTTTAGGGTTACACCCTAGGGCAGTGGCCAAAGCATGCTAGGCAGATGCGAGGAGTCAGTGGCGGCAGAGTGACGCGCATTGCTGGAAGCAGCAGCGCCGGGTTCTCAGCGCAGCCCCATATGATCGTGAATGACGAATGTGCACGAGCCTCAACCGTTACCAACACTTTCCCATCCCCCCCAAATTCCTATTAAACTAGCAGTTCACATGATATTTTCCTTCCTCTGCTTGCTACGCTCTAGGACCTTACGTCTGTATGCATGCGAAGGTGAGCTTCTCCTGGAGGACATCTATCGCTTCGGCCAGCCGATGCAGGCCACACCTGGCAAGACACGTGCAAGGCCGAGTCGGCGTTCTGGGGCCTTGTAACTGGGGGTTTCGAAATTCGACAAGGTACCTTCTTAGGGGGGTCCTCATTTTTTATGGGAATCCTACTACAATTTGGGGATCTATATGGGTACCTTATTGGGGTCCTTATGATAAGGGAATCCTATTATTTTGGGACTCTGTATTATGGCTCCCTGATTTACGTAAATGTCCATGTAGCACCCATCCGAGCTGTCGAGCCGAACTTTCTCAAATCCACAAATAGCATCTAACTTGCTATGTTTGCTCCTCGGAGGCCCTTTCTCGTGCTGGGGCCACTATACAAGGGTTAGAGGTTCGTCTTGGGTTTAAAGAGACCTGTCAAGACTGGTTGCTAGGGTGCGAACTTGTAAGAACCTCCGCCGGTCAAGAAGAAACTTTTCGGAGGCGGATGGTGACTACTGCGGCCGACTCCCAAGCCTTCTTGAGAACTTAGACCCGTTTATAATCCCCAAAACTAAACCCACCCTACTTGTAGCTACTCAGGACCCTCCTTATAAGTGCCCATGAACCTCCAAGTATATGTAGGTTTCAAGGGGCCCTGTGAGGGAACTGGAGGTCATGAACCTTCAAGTGTTTCGCCGACACCTTGGAGCACCACGCAAGAGAGCCTTGAACATTCTGCATGCAGACCTACACCCTCCGACAAACCCGAAAGGTTAGAGTTTATAGCATTTGGGTTTATAGGGTTTATAGGGTTTGCAGGGTTTACAGGGTTCTGAACCTCACACCTCCCACGAGTCCACCAGCGTAAACTCCCCCTCATGCATCCCTAAACCCTAAAACCCAAACCCCTAAACCCTAAACCCTAAACCCTAAACCCTAAAACCCTATACCCTAAACCCTAAATCCTAAACCCTAAACCCCAAAACCGCATCAGGAGGGCCAGCAGCACCGATTCTTTCCTCCCGGGAGACCGACATCACCGAACGGGCCGAAAGGTGCAGCTGGGGTTCAGGGTTTAGGTTTTTCGGGTTTTAGGGTTTAGGGTTTTTGGGGTGTTAAGGATTTGGTAAGGTTGTTTAAGGGTTTTAGGATTTTAGGGTTTAGGGCTCAAGGCTTAGGGTTTAGCCGGGGGAGTTTGGAGGGTTTGGGGGGGGGGGGGGGGGGGGGGGGGGGGGGGGGGGGGCTTCGCTGGCCGCAGGGGCTTTTGTCTTTCTGTTGCGGTCGACCTGACTTAGAACTGTACCGACTGCTGCCCTTGAGTCCTTAAGCAGGGTTGCTGGGTGTTGTCGTGGTGTCGTGGTCTTCGAGACTTTGGGTCAAACTCCTAAACACCCAACTCTCCCAAGCCCTAATCCCTACACCCTGCGCTCCAAAATGCCTAAACCTCCCAAACCCCAAACCCCAAGCCCTAAACCCCAAACCGCCTAAATCCCAAGCCTTAACACCCTACCCAAACCCCAAACCCTGAGCCCTGAGGTGGGGTTTAGGTGGGAAGCCCTAGGCCTTACTGAGTTAGGGTTTAGATTTCGGGTTTAATTAGGGTCTGGCTAGGATTTAGGGTTTGGGGTATAGGCATAGGGTATAGGGTTTGGGGTATAGGGTATAGGGTTTAGGGTTTAGGCTACCCGAAAAGCCCCAAACCCGAGGATTTCATGATTAGGTTTAAGTGGGCTTACGGTAGGGTGTCATTTTTTTTCCACTTGTTAGTTCTGCTTAGGGTTTAGGGTTTAGGGTGACGTAAGTAAGAGCTACCCATGAACCTTCAAGTACTGAAGCCCCACAAGAGCACCACATACTCCCCAAAAGCAAGCCCTACATGATTTCTGCTCCCTCCCCGCAGTGATGCTGGCCTTGCTTCTCAACCCCAAATGCAGTTGATGCGCCCTTGCATCGATGCAAAACCACAAGCCGAACCCGTAATTTCTGCACGAGCCCCTAAACCTATCCGGAACGCCTGGACTCCTGAGGTACAAGCATCCATCTTGAAAGCCCGGCTTTGATTGAGCAGCTTCAGAACATGGGAGGTAGCAGTAGTACTCGTTTTGTTTCTGGACTCGTGGTCGCAATGGTGACGTTGACTTGCTGCGCAGTCGTCTCTCGCACTCGTTGCGGCTGTTCGTGTTGGCACGGTGCGAGGCTTCTCACATTTCTTGTCGGCCGAAACCAGTTGGTTCGGCCCCTACTGAACACATACGCCGAACCTGCGAGGCATTGATGCATGCCAGCGGTAATGGCCATAGATTGTCAATCTCGCCCAGGTTCGTCCGAGGGCACCAGTCCCCAAATTGCCAAATGTAGACATTTAATTTGCGAGATTTGCTTTGCCTGGCTCCCATCCTCTCAAACCCGTACACCTTCTGCCGGCCCGGCGACCGACTTCATCAACAAGAAACGCCTCCAAACCCTACACCCAAAATCGGAAGCCTTCAGAGCCCATTAAAGCCCCGGGAAAAAATTGGCCCCAACAGCTCCCGAATAATTTGTGTAGGAGGTTAACCCCTTTGGTTTGGGCCTAAAGGGTCAAGAGCCGCCGTAAAGCCATTGGGGGGGGGGGGGGGGGTGCATATCTAAGTGCTCAGGGAGTTGATAGAAAGCCCCCCTGAACTCAAAGGAGCCTTGGGCACGAGGCCCTCAGACCTCAGACCCGAAGCCTCACAGGCCTAAGGTTTCGCAAAATACTGACATCATAAATACCTTCACAAAAGTATGTACACGCACACACACACACATGTCTATTCATCAGTTCATTCATTCGTTGATACAGTCCCGGCGTATAGCACTAACACGTGTATCCGGATGTATATATGTTCTTTGTCACATGCACGTGCACAATGCAGAGCTACTTTTCATGTTTTAAAGAATGCACAGAACAGACGTGTTCAGCAAACGCTTTGCCCTATCCCATGGAGCCAGTCATGAATTGAAATTCGGTTGCCGCCTGCTGCCGGCGCACCCGCCAGCAGGCTTAATGCGATAGTCCCGGCCGGCACTCGAGCGCATTTGTTTAGAGGTGGCGGTAAAAAGCCCCAGTTTGTAAACCCCATAACCCTTAACCCGAATCATCTTAGATGCATAGCGGCTCGGTCACGGCTGTGAGTGCCTACCTGCCATAGAGGACCCTCAAAAAGCAAGAGACCGGAATTCAGCGCAACCACGTCATATGTGGTGGCCACGTGCAACAAAGGCACCGACAACTCGCCCTGCGAAGTGGCTCCACACATGTACACGCGGCACCGTCAACGCAACATGAGCAATGGGCAAATCATGGCCCTGGGTTCTTCAGAATTGGACGTATCTCTGCCAGGTCCGGAGGATGCCCGGAAGGTTGAACCAGAAGCACATGTGGAGGAGACTTTTTTGGGCGCAGTTTAGGGCTTGATGGCTCTTAAGGGGTGTCACTGGCACTCACCAAAGCACCAGGCAAAGAGCCCTCAGGAAACTGCAGGGCTCATGGACCAGCCCATGGATCGGGCGACATCCCTCGGCGCTGTGGGCGGCCGACCTCTGGGAACGCTGGTGCCGCCGGATGACCTACACAGGCCAGCCTCCGATGCTAGTGGGGCTTTGGGAGTGCGGTGCTATAGCGGGGCGGATGCCCCCCCAACAACTCGAAGCCCTCAAATGTCGACGCCAACCCTAAATCCCCTTAACCCTGAACCCATGGAACCGTAGCTTTCAAACTCCAACTTCCTCCCAGCTGCTGCTCCGCTTCTCCGGATGCCCAACCAGGCCGAGTAGGTCTTGGCTGTCCCATTTCGCAAACTCCCTCAGTCCGAGAAGCTAAACCCGTAAACCCCAACACCCTAAACATCCCTAAACCCTAAAAACCCTAAACCCCAATCTCCAAAGCCTCAACCCCAAACCCCAAGCCCTATAAGCCCCATGCGAAGCCTGCACCCCCATCTGCACGAACTAACTCCCCCAAAGTGTGTCCCTCAACGCCTACACCCTAAGCTAGGCCCCTTTAAGAGGTTTAACGTTAAGGGTTTAGGTTGAGGGGTCTGAGGCAACTCCGCGAGACTAGTCTGGACCTGGGCCAAGGCAAGTGCAGAAGGCTGCTGCTGCAGATCTGACTCTTCGACGCCCGGCACTGGCACACCCCTTCCAAAACCCGGAGCCCAAAACATGCGTTTCCTCAGGCTTCTGGCCGCCCCCTAGACTCTCGTATGTTTCCTTTGATTGGGCAGCTGGGTATGAAGTGGTCTCATACAGCAAAAACTATAGTGCATAATTACAGATCTACTAATGATGGCGATTGCCAAAAGTTGTATTTGGTTGCGTGTTTCATTTTGGAATTTCGAACAACAGTTATCATGAAGAGCCATTGACTCGAGGATGTGTTCGCCCGAAAACCAGAATCAAAAGACGGGAGTCAGAACTTAAGGGTCCTTCTTTGGGATGTTCCCCCTTATACTAACAGCCTTTAATAGGGGTTATAGTACCCCTCTATTCCCTATTAGGGACCGTTAGTATAACGGGGAACATCCCAACCCTAAACACTAAGCCCTAAACCCTAAACCTGAAACCTGAAACCCTAAACCCTAAACCCTAAACCCTAAACCCTAAACCCTAAACCCTAAACCCTAAACCCTGTTCAGGACTGCTAGTATAAGGGGGAACATATTCCAAGTCCTTATGGGGCACCGTGCACCGTGGCTCCCCAAGGACTGAGGCCTCAGCTTGAGCCTTCGCAGAAGGCAGCGGAGGACCGGCATAGAAGCCCAATCCTCCCTACAACCCTAATCCCTAACTCCGAAACCCTGCTCCCGAAACCCTAAACCCTAAACCCCAAACCCCAAACCCCAAACCCCAAACCCTAAACCCCAAACCCCAAACCCTGAACCGAAGCTCACCTCCTCTTTCTGCACAGGAGCGGCTCGCGGCTCTCCAGCGTCAAATGACGCTGAGGCCGGATGCCCAGAGAGGGCTCCGGGAGGGTTTGGGGTTTAGGGTTTAGGGTTTAGGGTTTAGGGTTTAGGGTTTAGGGTTTAGGGTGGGACAGATCCCCTAACCCTAAACCCTGGTTCCGAGGCAACGGGACAACCTCCGAGAGCTCAACGAGTTGAAGCGCAAGAATGAGCAGCCTCTCGGTGGGCCCTAGACCCTAAACCCTAAACCCTAAGCCCTAAACCCTAACCTTAAACTCTCGGATTCGGGGGCGGGGTGGGGGCGGGGGGGGGGGGGCGTCCGGGCTTGTCAGCGAGTCTGCAGAAGCAAGTAAGTACTCGGTAGACCCCAGCCGGCCGTTTTGGGGTTAAGGTCCTCTGGGGCTGATGTAGGAAGGTCTGCCTGAGGGTGCTGCTGTTTCTTTGTCGCTGGCTTGCGGTCCGATATACGGGGTTAAGCTGAGCATGCTGATCTCAGAGTGTGGGTGTAGTCGAGACCAAAGACTGATTTGCTGGGGCTTTGGGTTTAGGGTTTCGAGTCCGGCGCCCTAAGCCCTAAACCCTAAACCAGTTCAGTCGCTTCTTCTTGTCAGTTTTCTGGCCTGCCAGTAGCCTCAGCCCTGAACTCCTAAAGCCCTAAACCTTGAGATGTTCCCTCTTATATGAGGGAGCATCCCAACCCAAACCCCTCAACCCATCCACACCCCTAACCCCTAAACCCCGAACCCTTGTTCCCCTCCGAAACCCTAAGCCCTAAATAAACCCTAAGCCCTAAACCCGAAACCCTAAACCCTAAACTCTAAACCCTAAACCCAGAAGATCTGAGGCTGGAGCGCGTTCTCTTAGAGAGGGAGCGGAGGTCGAACCTGGCACAGACTCTGCTGGTCCGGGGGCTGCACGATTAGTGGCATTATTAGGGTTTGGGGTTTAGGGTTTGGGGTTTGGGGTTTAGGGCTTTGGGGTTTAAGGTTTCGGGTTTGGCAATTTGGGGGTTAGGGCTTCGGGTTTATTTCTTACGCCGTTCAACCCAGTGTGGCCCCCGGACATGCTAAACCTCCCCCGAAGCCCTGAACCCCACAGGCGCCTCATCCCCTAGCTCCCAAACGCTCCTAAACCCAACGCATCTTCCCGGAAATGCCACAAGAGTCCCTAAACCCTAAACGCGACATGCCAAACCATAAACCCTAAACCCTAAACCCTAAACTTCAAACCCTGAACCCCAAACCCTAAACCCTAAACCCTAAACCCTAACCCTAAACCCTAAACCGGGACCCTAAACCATAAACCCTAAACCCTAAACCCTAAACCCCAAACCCCAAACCCTAAACCCTAAACCCTAAACCCTAAACCCTAGCCCTAAACCCTAAACCCTAGCCCTAAACCCTAAACCCTAAACCCTAAACCCTAAACCCTAAACCCTAAACCCTAAACCCTAAACCCTAAACCCTAAACCCTAAACCCTAAACCCTAAACCTCAATCACACAAGGCCCGGCTGGGTGCCCAGGCCGATGAGGAGCTGCGCCTGGGATTCCCTTTAAGCATTCCGGGTTTAGGGTTTATGGTTTAGGGTTTAGGGCTTAGGGTTTAGGGTTTAGGGTTTAGGGTTTAGGGTTTAGGGTTTAGGGTTTAGGGTTTAGGGTTTAGGGTTTAGGGCTACAGGGTGTAGGGTCGGCTCGCGGCTTTCGCGGCTTTCTGGGCTTTTTTGGGGCAGCTCCGGGGTGGTGACGCTCAAAGAAGCAAGTCGTACTTGGAGGTTCATGGGGCAGGTCTAGCAGCAATTGTAGCTGTACTTATAAGCCCCCCTAAGTCCGAGAAGTAGGTTAGAAGTAGACTTCTTATTGGGGTTATTAACTACCCACGAACCGCCCTCAGGTCTGAGGCCCGAAGGCCCTAAGGTTTTCAAGATCCCAAAGAACGATACAGCTCCACCCCAAAGCACTTCTAAAGCTATGAAAGAGAGGAACTCCCTAAACCCTAAACCCTAAGCCCTAAACAATAAACCCTAAGCCCTAAGAACCCTAAGAACCCTAAGAACCCTAAGAACCCTAAGAACCCTAAGAACCCTAAGAACCCTAAGAACCCTAAGAACCCTAAACCCTAAACCCTAAACCCTAAACCCTAAACCCTAAACCCTAAACCCTAAACCCTAGGCCAGCCCCAGTCCACCCTGGATCGGTGTCAGGTACAGCCCTTTGCGGCGTAGTTCTATGGGCCCTTAAAATGGTCCCTTACCTCCTTCAAAGGGTTACTTCGGGAAGCTTCAGGGCTGGGATCTAAAGGGTTCCGGTAGCTTCGGGGCGGGGGCGGGCGACTTGATAGAAAAACCGCTCACCCTGTAGAGCCCTAGGCCCCTTCAACTCCTTACAAAAAACACGATTAACAAACTGGCCGAATGAAAAACCCTAGCGCCCAAGCACCCTGAACCTCGCAAGCCGTGCACGCCCTTCCTAACCCTCAAGCCGCCCCCACAACTCATGAACCCGGAACCTGGCAAACCCTACAGCTAGGATACCACCCACAGGGTGAGGGCGTGGGGCTTCTGATTTTCAATGGTTTAGGACCTAAGGGTAGTTACACGATCCCTTAGTATGGGCCCTTAAATGGGGGAGCCCTTATGTACACCCTTATATACCCCAAACAGCCCAAGGGCACAAGGAAGCCCCCTAAGATAACTGCCAAGGAAACAGCCCCTTCACTTCCCTAAACTCTAAACGCCAAACCCCAAGCCGTGTAACCTTAAACCCTAAGCCCCTTAAACCGCTAAGGAATGGGATTGGCCTCCAGCGTGCATGGCTCGGGGCTCAGACTGGTTAAAGCCCTTTTGGTTGGTTAGGTGTAGGGTTTGTAAGGGTTTATAAGGTCCTGTCGAGGGTTGGTTTTTTTTTGGTGTTCTTCCTTTAGGTTGTACCGTTTCGCGTGCGTTTTTGGTGGCTGGGCTTCGGCGAGTTTGTTTGTGTTCTTGTCTATTAGTGCTATCTTTTTTTTTTTTGGCAGGGGGGGGGGGGGGCCTTAAACCCTAAACCCGGCTTAAACAATAAATCCTAAGCGCTGTGTATGTGTGTGTGTGTGCGTGAAGCAGTTTGCATGTACATATGGAAGAGTTATATATGCCTATATGCCCAGTCAGAGCCAGGAGCTTGATTTAGGAGGGCTTCCGACCCAGGTGGGTGCGGCAACGGGCGGAACTCCTCAAGGAGCCCGGTCGTCATGCACCTTTTTGTTGCGAGGATTAGGGTTGAGGGTTTAGGGTTTAGGGTTTAGGGTTTGGGGTTTGGGGTTTTGGGGGAGGGGGGGGGGTTATATTCGAGCCTCTAAGGGCTTGTAGGGAACAGACATGAACAGGCTGTTAGGCTGCTGTGCTGAGTTCTTGTCTGCCGGTGCTAGAAGGGTGGCCTTTTGTGCATACTGGAAGCCTTCGTCATTCCACGCAAGGCTCACAGCTCCCTGTTCCCGCAGCCGCTACCGCACTACCGCAAGTGTTTCGCATTCCGCTCCAGTCTGGCACTCGGTTCAGAGTAAGACCAGCCATGGCCTTCCTTCGGGTTTTGGTCGCCTTCGCGGCCCTGGCCCTCGTGCAGGGTGCCGACTCGAAGGTGTGAGGGCCCCTGATCTTCTGTTTCTTACTGACGGTTCTTTTTGGGTCTAGGGTTTAGGGTTTAGGGTTTAGGGTATCTCTGACTACAGTCATTCTCAACTACAGAGCTCCAATTAGGGTTTCTCAAGTAGAGCAGTCTGCCACAGGACGCGGGCGCCCAGTGTGCCAACCAGCAGCTGTTCGACAAGCTGATGTGCACTTCGCACATGTGTAACGAGTGCGCGCATAAGTTCTGCCACGAGCACTGCGTGAAGATTCAAGACGACCATCCCGGATGCCGCTGCGCTGCCTGGCCCAAAGGGCAAACTTCCTTCTCCGGCGGGAAGTTCGAGGGCAAGTATTCCTAGCATCCGCATGCGCAGATGCACGAGAAATTACCCTGCGACGAGAGGCGGAAACTGAAAAAGACTGATGGTCGCTGTCTGGGTACGTAGCGGGTCTTGGCTTTCGCAACTTGTATTTTGGGACTTTGGCCCAGTCACCTGTCAAGTTGCTTACCGGACATGTGCAGCTCGTAGCCCCCGGTACCAGGATAACGAGGTTTACGGATGCGTTTCCAAAGAGCAATACTTCCGTACTTCCAGGGCACTACATCCCTAACGAATGAACTCAAGTTAACAACCTCGGAGCCATAATTCCTGAAAGTCGTCGTCTTGAACCTGAAGGGCCACGAAGCGACAGCTCAGCACTAGGACGCCACCCACGCTGTAAGGAGGTTTAACTGCCCAAAGCCCGAATAGCACTACACCCCACTCCCCACCCCCCCCCCCCCCCCCCCCTCCCCCCCCACTCCCACCGCATTCCCCGAAACCCTAAACCCTAAACCCTCAACCCCGAGTAACCCCAATGTGCCCCACAGGACCTGCGCCCCATGGGCCGTCTACCGCCCTGGAAGCCGACCAGCTACGCCGTGCTGGTGCGGCGGGCAGTGACGAGGGAGCCCGAAAGAGACTTTGTGGAGACTGAAGGACCCCATGACCTCTATCTCGAAACCCCAAACCCCCGAACCTAACAGCCTCAATAATGACCCTACTAGAGTTACTAGACTCAAATTTGTCCATATATATATATATATATATCTGCAACCTTAAACCCTATGACCACATCACAACCCTTGCAGCCCGAAAGCGCGAGCCACGGATTTTGGACTGTTCTGATTTGGGGGTTTGTTTGGGGCAGGGAGGGAGCTGAGCGGCGTCCTTCCAGGTAAAACATGGTGAAGTGCGCGTTGTTGTAGATCAGGAGTCGCTGTAATCGACATCGTGTCATCACTGTTCCACTAAAAGTGCTTGCACATTGGAGTCCTTGCATGCAGTGGAGGTAAAGAGGATCAGGTAGTTCTAGCGTTCCCTGCGGCGCGCGCGCTGCGTGCGCACGATCACCTCCTCGGTGTTTCCTGTGGGCCGGCACGCTCTCGCCTAGGTGTGCCGTGCGCATTGCAATGCGCGAACGATGACCTTAATTGACGTCTCGTGCCTCTCGGCGCAACATCGCGCGCTCTGGTGCGCCTTCCGTGATCCAAACCGTTCTCGGGCATGTATCGCTCCGTGTCGCGAAATGGTGGCAGTGACTCACTTTTCCTGCGTTCTGTGAAGTCTTGGACGAGGTTGGCTAGCCTGGTAGAGGGGGAGTTGCACCTAAACCCTAAACCCCAAACCCTAAACCCTACACCCTAAACCCTAAACCCCAAACCCTAAACCCTAAGCCCTAGACCTCGGTGTGCCAATGGTGCTCATTCGCCTCGGTCCCGTGCGCATGTTTCTCGTGAAGCCCTGAACCGTGGTCGCTCTTGGGCTCGGGGGCGCAATCTTTGAGTGTTTCTTTTTTCAGTAGTCCCAGGACGGGCTATGAAACCCTGTTACCCCTTTAACAGGCCGTTTATAGGGTTGATTATGAGGATTATAGGGCCTGATAGCCCATCCTGGTCTTGGAGTGTCCTTTCGGAGTGGTCTTGGCATGCCCTAACTTAGATCACACCCTGGGTGTTGGCAGCTAACTCGACATGTGGGGTTGATAAACGGAATTCACTGCATGCTACTATGCCAAAAGCGGGCTTAAGTACCCGAGACCCTAAACCCCTTGGCAATCCTGAGTCCTACACCCTAACCAGGATGGGCTATCAGGCCCTGTAATCCTCATAATCAACCCTATAGGGGCCTTTTTAAGGGGTTACAGGGTATACTAGCCCGTCTTGGAAGCCCTAGTGTTGCAGATGCGAAGATCGAGCTCAGGAGAGCCACCAAGAGAGATCTCGCGGGAAACTTCCCGAGAGATTCGACGGGAGCCGACGAAGGAGAATGCCCATGTGTTAGTTGAAAGGGGAAAGAAGGGTTTAGGAAGTTTGGGGTTTAGGGGATTAGGATTTAGGGCATATGGCTCAGGGTTTAGGAGGTTTAGGGTTTAGGGCGCCCATGGTCAGGTTGACTTGTTGCCCTACACCCTACACCCTACAAACCCACAAGACCACAAATATCCCAAACCCGAAACCCAGAATCCTGCCCCGACCTGAGTGCAAGGCCTCTACGATCATCGAAAGCATGCCATTCTGGCTTTCAGTCTAGAGGGATTCTGGGTTTGTTTGGCAGACGGTTTGAGGATGAGGAGTGCAGGTTTCTGTCCCGGTTCGGGGTGGAGTGGTCCAGGGTTCAGGGGATCATAAATTCGTAAATGTCCCGCAGAAGCTTCTCGCAGGACCATTGCAGTGAGCCGCCAAAGGAGATGCCGATGGATCTACTGCGGCTGCCGCCGAGCGAGCCCGAGGAGGACTACGCTTCGACAGATTCCCTATACCTATATCCCCCTTGGGAATTATTTTTTATTTTTGTTCATATAAAACCCAAGAGGATATTAACAATATTGTTTTTATTAAGTTTCTAAGGGGAGTATAGATACCTTTCTGTTTGCCAGTCCTGTCCTGTGTTTTCCAGACCCATTGACTTTGGACTGAAAGCTCCAACCTTAAACCCCAAGCAAATCTGCCCTTGGGTTTCGGACATCGACATCAACATCTGCGAAAACTTCTCACGCTCTCAGCCCTAATCTGGAGTTGTTCAAGGGAAAGGGAAGATCACCAACCTGCCTGCGAACTGGGTGGGAGCCTTCAAATCCCAGCCCATATGCCGCCGGTACCAAACCGGCCACTGCGAACTTAGGGACTGCAAGTTTGCCCACGTCTGCGCCATCAGGGGCTGCGCCCAAAAGCACCCGGCATCAGAGCACGGCAACATGCTAAGAAAACGATGACAAAAGCATGATCGAGCAATAAAGCCTCAACTATATGCACCCTACGTCTTACAAAGCTAAAAGCCCCGAGCTGAACGCCCATAGCCCTTAAACCTTCAGACAGCAGCAAAACTCTGCGCTGTGGGTACAGAGCGCACGCAGTAAAGGGTCAGCTGGTCCCTTTTTGGAGTGACTGGCCCCATTGAAAGCATGCCCTGTCGACCTTCAGTAAACGGGTTGGGTTTGGTGCTTGCTTTACTGTCGAGTGGGGTTCATGGGGTTGCAACAGAACGTCCCGTGGAACTCTCTCGCAGGACAGTGAAGGAGAGCCGCCGAAAGAGATGCCCAGGGTTCTGCTGGGGGCGTCGCGGAGAGCAGTGGAGCAGGAGGACTGCAACGCTTGCAGCAGCCGCTCTGTACTCGTACCATTTGTGTTTGACGCCCCTGTCCCGTCCCTTAAGTACACCCTAAGATCTAGTTCCAATGAATGTGAACAGCAAACTCCACGCCCGAAACGCCGAGAAAATCTGCTTTGGCCTGGGCTTCAGTTTCCACGCTTGGGGTGACCTCCACATCCGTGAAGACTTGTTCTTCCTTTGGGGCCTGAATGCTCAAGGCCCAGAATTCCGCAAGCTCGGGCCAACGAAGCTCCCGCAGAAATCCAGGCGCAAAATGCCGCAAAGCACAAAAAGCCTCCAATGCATACACCCCAACCCGAAGGGGTTTGGTGCTTGCGGTCTTTGGTCGCAGAGGCATAACGGCCCTGCTTGACTGTCGAGTTTCGGGGTTCAGGGTTCTGGGGTTGACTTGCATCAAAATGTTCATGAAAGCCTCTCGCAGGACTCTTTCGGAGAGCCGCCCAAGGAGATGCCAAAGGTTCTGCTGGGGGCGGCACGGAGCGTGGAGCAGGAGGACTGCAACGCATGCAGACGCTTTGTACTCGTACCTTGTGTGTTTGCCGGCCGTGTCCCTTGATTTCATTACCCCTGTCCCTTGAGTTGTAGATCCAAAGAATCTGAACAGCAAGCTCCAAGCCCCGAAACGCGGAGTAAATCCGCTTCGGCCTTTTCCGAGCTTGGGGTGACTTCCACATCCGTGAAGACTTGTTCTTCCTCTCCCAAGGCCCAGAATTCCGCAGGCTCCCGCCGGTAAAACCCTTGGAGAAGTCTGGGCACTCCAGGCACTCTCTGGGATACTCTGAAGTTGGGCTCTCTGGGATATTCTGGTGGATAGTCTAGGGGTTGGGCACTCCAGGGACTCTCTGGGCATACTAGGGTGGGGAAAATGCCTCAAACGCACGTACACCCCAACCCTAAAAGCCCTGAAGCCCCAAGCCCTGAGTACAGTCCTTTTCACATTAAGATTCGAAGAGGGGGTCATTTGGGCCTCATTTGGTCCCTTTTTTGGATCACCCACAGCATACTGGGGCCGTTCAGTGAAAGTCAGAGAGGGGTCCAACAGTCGGAGGCAAAGCCAAAAAGGCACACCACAGGGTACACCCCTGACGTGCCCGAACGTGCTTGACCTTCAGTAAATACGGTTGGGTACCGGGTGCGAGGGGATGTTGGCACAAGGGGGCAGGGCTTTCTTGTCCAGTTTCGGAGTTCAGTGGTCTGAGGGAGGACTTTCAGTGCATCTGTGCATCCCGCGGAAGCCTCCGCGCAGGACTCTTTCAGGGAGCCGCCACTGGAGATGCCCATGGATCTACTGCGGCCGTCGCCGAGCGAGCCGCAGGAGGACTGCATTGCAATCAGACGCTCTGTGCCTTCTCTGCTTTCCAGCCCTGTCCCGTCCCCTACACCCGGAATTCTAGACCCAAAGACACTGAATCTGAACTGCAAGCTCCAAACCCTAAATGCCGAGTTAGTCTGCTTGTGGGTCGGTCTTCAACATCCGCTCCTTGAACAGTGCCAGTGCAGTTTCTCAAAAGCAACATGCTAAACAACAAAAACGCCTGAGTTTGGGGTTTGCGTGCTTTGGTCTCAGCGGTATAGGGGCCATGCTTTATTGTCGAGCGGGGTTCAGGGTTACATGGGGCTGAATTCTATCAACCCATGGAAGTTTCTGACAGGACTGTTTCGGAGAGCCGCCAAAGGAGATGCCAATGGATCTACTGCGGCCGTCGCCGAGCCAGCAGCAGGAGGACTGCTACATTGCAATCAGATTCCCTGTTGCATCCTTCTACGTGTGCAAGTCCTGTCCCGTCTTGACGCCTTCACAAGGGTCCGTACTGCAACAGGGGTCCAGAAAAGGCACCAGACTGATGGTGGTGGAATGGGGTTGGGTTTGGGGAGTTTGGGGTGGCTTTGGTTTCAGCGGTATAGGGGCCATGTTTGTCGAGTTTCGGGTTCAGGGTTGGGGCTGAATGGCATCAAGAATCTAAATGCCCCGTGGAAGCCTCTCGCAGGACTTTTTCGGAGAGCCGCCCAAGGAGATGCCAAAGGTTCTGCTGGGGGCGGCGCGGAGCGTGGAGCAGGAGGACTGCAACGCAATCAGACGCTCTGTACCTTTTCTGTTTGCCAGCTCTGTCCCGTCCTTATACGCCCTACATTCTAGACCAAAGGACTCTGGATCTGAAAAGTGAATCTGCTTGTGGATCTGTCCTCAACATCTGTGAAGGGTGCCGGAAAACTCCTTAAACGGCGCCGTTTCTCCAAAGCAATATGCTAAGCAAATCTAATCAAACAACAAAAACGCCTCAGCCACGTACACCCTACATCTTGCAGCCCTACTGGAAAAGCGCCGCGCCCTTAACTTATGCAAACCACCCAAGCCCCTAAACTCTGTGCCGTGGCGTAGCGCGCGCGGTAAGGGGGCAGTTGGTCCTTCCTCTGGATTAAGTGCCGCTTGCGGTCTTTGGTCTCAGCGGTATAGGGGCCATGCTTTACTGTCGAGTTTCGGGGTTCAGGGTGGATTGACTTGCATCAAGACGTTTCATGGAAGCCTCTCGCAGGACTGTTTCGGAGAGCCGCCCAAGGAAATGCCAAAGGTTCTGCTGGGGGCGGCGCGGAGAGCGGAGCAGGAGGACTTCAACTCGTACCTTTTGGGTTTGCCGGCCCGGGGTCCCGTCCGGTCACTACTCCTTGAGAGGCCTGGGTTTTTGTTTTCCACGCTTGGGGTGACTTCCACATCCGTGAAGACTTGTTCTTCCTCTGCCAAGGCCCAGAATTCCGCAAGCTCGCGCCAGCGAAACCCTTGGTACAGTCCGCACGCAATATGCCGAAAGCCTGCAAGGCAAACTTTGATTCTTCGAACGTTCCCACCCTGCAGGCAATGAATTTGCGAGCTCACTCTGGGGCTGGGCACTCCAGGGACACTCTGGGGATTCCCTGGGGATAATCTGGATTGTTGGGCACTCCAGGGATTCTGCGGGGATGTTGGGCACCCTAACCCTAACAGCAACAGCCAAAAGGCCCAAAACTCTGAGTATAATCCTTGTAACATTAAGATTCGAAGAGGGGGTCTTTTGGTCCCTTTTTTGGATTTCTCCCACAGCATATGGGGCTGTGCTCATACATCCCTGAAGTTCCCGAACGTTGCTTGACCTTAGTAAATAGGGTGGCGTTCGGGCGTTTAGGCTCTTGTCATAAGGGGTAAGGCTCTCTTGTCCAGTTTCGGAGTTTGGTGGTATCGGATGCGTCCCGCGGAAGCCCTGCGCAGGACTGTTTCAGAGAGCCGCCACTGGAGATGCCGATGGATCTACTGCGGCCGCCGCCGAGCGAGCAGCAAGAGGACTGCATTTCAATCAGATTCCCTAGACTCCCACGCTATGCTTGCCAGTCGGCCCAGAACGAGAACCAGAGTTTGGTGTGTGCAGAGTGTCACGAGCCGATGGCTGTGTCTCGAGTGACACGACATCTGCAATGACTTTGAGCTCTAGAATGCCTGATGGTGGTGGATTTCTGGGCTGTTTTTGACCTTCAGTAGATGGGGTCGGGCTTGGGGTTCGCGGGCTTTATGCCGAGTTTCGGGGTTCAGGGTGTTATGGGGCTGAATTACATCAAAACATTTCATGGAAGCCTCTCGCAGGACTTTTTCGGAGAGCCGCCAAAGGAGATGCCAAAGGTTCTGCTGAGGCCGGCGCGGAGCGTGGAGCAGGACTGCAACGCAATCAGACCCTCTGCACTTTCTGTGCTTGCCTGCCCTGTGTTGTCCCGTACACCCTTCAAAACCCTAAATGTCGAGTAAAATCTGCTTCGGCCTTGGCTTCAGTTTTCCGGATTTAATTCAGTGGCGCAGTCAGAGCCCAGAATTCCACCAGCTCCCGCCAAAAAAAACCCTTGCAGAAGTTTTCAGGAGCAAGATGCCGAAAAGCCCGCAAGGCAACAAGCCTCAACCGCACACATGCTAGATATCCCGCTACCTCTATATGCCCCTAACCACCGAGAGCTGCAACCCTTGAGCATATAGTCCTTACAACACTAAGGGTTTAGGGTTTAGGGTTTAGGGTTTAGGGTTTAGGGTTTAGGGTTTAGGGTTTAGGGTTTAGGGCTCGACTCCCTAAACTCCGTACAGGGTAGGGAGTCAGTTGATCCCGGTTTTGGACCACCCGAAGTATATTTTGGGGTCTACGGTAACAGTGGTCCAGAAAAGGGGCCAACATGTGGACAAATCGGCGGAAAAGCTTTTTTTTTTTCCGGGGATTTCCGGGATGTAGGCTTTTCAGGAGATAGCCGCTTTTAGAGTTGGGGGGTTGAGTTTGTCTGGGGGGTTGTGCAGTTCTGGAGGCATCTCTTCTCTTTTGTTAGATACCTGCACGCCCCACACGGTACACCCCTGACGTTCCGGGATATTGTTTGAGCTTCAGTGAATAGGGTTGGGTACCGGGTGTGAGGCCATTTCGGCACAAGGGAGCAAGGCTTTCCAGTCCAGTTTCGGGGTTCAGTGGTCTGGGGTGTTACGTTGCATCGGCACGTACGTCCCGCGGAAGACTCGCACAGGACTTTTTCAGCGAGCCGCCGCTGGAGATGCCAATGGATCTACTGCGGCCGTCGCCGAGCGAGCAGCAAGAGGACTGCATTGCAATCAGGTTCCCTTGACTCCCACACCTTCTGTGTTTGCCAGTTGGCCCAGAACAAGAACTAAAGTTTGGTGCGTGCCAGGGTGTCAGGAGCCGATAGGCGTGGCTCGGGTGAAACGACGTCCGCAATGACTTTGGGCACTAGACTCACTAGACTGCCTGATGGCGGTGGATTTCTGTGGCGAATTTTGATCTTCAGTAAATTTTGTTTGACTTGGGAGTTGTTGCAGGCTTTGGTCTCAGCGTAGGGCCCATGCTTTATGTCGACTTTCGGGGTTCAGGGTTATACGGCATCAACACGTCCCGTTGTTTCGGAGCGCCAAAAGGAGATGCCAAAGGTTCTGCTGATGCCGCCGCGGAGAGTGGAGCAGGAGGACTGCAACGCAATCAGACGCTCTGTACTCGTACCTTTTGTGTTTGCCAGCTCTGTCCCGTCCCTTACACCCTCAGTTCTAGACCCAAAGCATTCTGAATCTGAACTGCAAACTCCGAACCCGAGATGCTGAGTAGATCAGCTTTGGCCTGGGCTTCAGATTTCCGAGTTTGGGGCACATCCGTGGAGGCCTGGGCCTTAAAGGCTCAAGGCCCAGAATTCCGCAAGCTCGCGCCAACAAAGCCTTCGCAGAAGTCCAAGCGCAAAGTGCTGCAAAGCCTGCAGAGCAACAACCGCCTCGACCACAATGTACCTCAAACCCGAAACCCTTGGGACGTTAAGGCTTTAACCCTAATCTCCTCACTGTGGGAGCCCGCATAGTACTGGTCAGTTGGTCCCTTTCTTGCATCACCGGAAGTATCTGGGGTTCTTCGGAACAGCGCAAACCCCACACGCTGCACCCTTGACAATCCTCAACAGGGTTTAGGCTTTAGGGTTAGGGGGTTTTGTAGGATCCATGGATCCATATGCGGGGGCAGGGGCTTCAGGGGCCCGAAGGCATTCCCTAAACCCTAACCCTAAACCCTAAACCCCCCTGAAGAGGACTGTTTCGGAGAGCCGCCAAAGGAGATGCCAATGGACCTACTGAGGCCCCCACCGAGCGAGCAGGAGGACTGCAAAGCCCGAAGCCCTATAACCTATAAGCCCTAAACCCCAAACCCCAAACCCTAAACCCTAAACCCTAAACTGCACTGCCAAACCCCACACCCGAACTCCAGGCAAATCTGCTTGCAGCTTCGGAGGGTTTAGGGTGTTTAGGGTTTAAATTTTAGGGGTTAGGGTTTAAGGTTTAGGGTTTAGCCTCTACTCCCTACCCCCTGACCTTTCGAACCCCCTAGCCCTAAAGCCTAAGCCCTATAAACCCTAATCCCTAAATTCTAAACCCTAAACCCTAAACCCCTAGCCCTAAACCCTAGACCTTTAGGAGTCTGAAGCCGTGAGCTGCCCGGGAAGCAGCTACCACTCCCTGTTGCTGGGCTGCAATCTTGGCCGGCCCCTAAAGCTAGGGTTTAGGGTTTAGGGTTTAGGGGTTAGGGTTTAGGGGCACCTCAGACTTTTATTCCTAAGCCCGGAACTCTGGACCCCAAAGCCTCATGAGTTTCGCGGTTGTCGTTCACGAGATCATCCGAGGAGCGAGTGACTTGCTTTGGACTCCTCTCGCGGCCGCTGGAGCACAGAGTAGTTTAGGGTTTAGGGTTAGGGCCATAGCTACTTTAGTGTGCCTCACGTATGTGCGTTGTACATCTCATTGCAAAGTAGCTCTAGAGCTACTTCTCTTGTCCTGTGGTCAAGCTGGCTCAGTAGCTTCGTGGGTCCTGTTCCGGCAACGCGTGCTCGGAGACAGTTGGGTATTTCCCAAAATAGGGGTACCCCTGCTATACCCCAAGTAGTATCGTATCCCCTGAAAAGGATCCCCCCAAAGGGTCCCCTATTTTCGGAAACCCTTGTGTGGACTCAGAGTTTCTTGCCAATGCTGTAAGATGAGCTGGTGCGATCGCGGTGCCATCCTGATCTTGGTCTCTAGTTCCTGCACCCTAAACCCTAAACCCTAAACCCTAAACCCTAAACCCTAAACCCTAAACCCTAAACCCCAAACCCCAAACCCTAAACCCTAAACCCTAAACCCTAAACCCTAAACCCTAAACCCTAAACCCTAAACCCTAAACCCTAAACCCTAAACCTAAACCCTAACGGGACTTTCGATTTAAATGAAGGCCCCAAGCAGGGAACCCCAAGAGTCTAGTAGGAACTCAATAGGAATGGACCTACCAGGGGTCCTTACATTCCCTTTCTATGCCTACTCTGTTCTTGGGGTTCCCTGTTCAGGGTTCCCATTAGCATCCTCTTAATGTTGCACCCTAAACCCTAAACCCTAAACCCTAAACCCTAAACCCTAAACACGAAAATCTCGGATGGCACCAAGAGAACCACCAGGCCCGGCAGAATGCGTGCCCTGAACGCATTCCCGAAAGAGAACCAAAAAAACTCACCATGCAAGGGTGCTCACGTGTACTAGCGACTTTAGGGTTTAGGGTGTAGGGTTCAGGGTTTAGGGGTCAGGGTTTAGGGTTCAGGGTTTAGGGTTTAGGGTTTAGGGTTTAGGGTGTAGGGTTCAGGATTTAGGGTTGAGGGATGACTCTAATCCCCCCCCCCCCCCTCCCCATGAACCTACACGGCCGCTTCGTCTATCCTTGTCCTGGCAGATGCCATGCAGAGGCTCCAGGCAAATGGAACATGAACACACATGAGGCACATCGGCCAGCTGCCGTTTAGAGCCAGCTCTTGGAAGCTGGGGCCTGTTTCAGCCGACTCAGCGGATACTTGCGGGCAGCTTACAGCCATGAGGTATCATGAGAGCACAGCGGTCTCGGGAAGCTAAGCACACTCCAGTCAAGTCACCACAAGCAGCTCCAGGGCACCTGTGCCAGGGGAGGTGTTCACCCATTGCATGGGCAGATGCTCGCCTTGGCAGGTGCGCCAGCCTTGTAAAGCCTTGGAACCGTTTCAGCGCGGTATAAGGGCTCAGGCTTCAGGTTTGGGGTCCTAGATCCCTCTTGAACCTGTGCTGGCATTTTTCTTCTCCAGGCGTCTGCATACGTCACCTGATTTTGTATACTCCCGCCACAAAATCAGACACAACCCCTACTTGGAAGCTCTTTTGACTTAGTAAGGCTACTTAGTATCCCCAAGAAACCCTTTTATCATCCCCATAGCCCGCCTTACTAGCCCTACTTACTCACTCTAAAGGGTTCCAAGAAATCAGAATTCAAGTAAGTTGCAGGCCGATGCAGGGAAAAAGGGGGGGGGGGGGGGGGAGGCTAGGGCCTCGCAATTACCTTTAATCTTGCTGGCTCTTCGTAGGAAATCCGGAAATGAGGTACCCTTTAAGCCCTCAACACTAAATTTATCTCATACAGGGTACGATCTGCCTTCCCCTGAATAAGGGCTGCTTGACCTTAGGGTTTAAGGTCTAGGCGGTTTAGGGTTTAGGGTTTAAGGTTTAGAGTTTTGTGTGTGCGTGTGCGTGTGCGTGTGCGTGTGCGTGTGCGTGTGCGTGTGCGTGTGCGTGTGCGTGTGCGTGTGCGTGTGCGTGTGCGTGTGCGTGTGCCTGTGCGTGTGCGTGTGCGTGTGCGTGTGCGTGTGCGTGTGCGTGTGCGTGTGCGTGTGCGTGTGCGTGTGCGTGTGCGTGTGCGTGTGCGTGAGCGTGCGCATGTCCATATCCATCTGCGTGTGCGTTTGCGTGTGCGTGTGCGCGTGCGCGTGCGCGTGGGCGTCTACATTTGCGTGTGCGTGTGCGTGTGCGTGTGCGTGTGCGTGTGCGTGTGCGTGTGCGTGTGCGTGTGCGTGTGCGTGTGCGTGTGCTTGTGCGTGTGCGTGTGCGTGTGCGTGTGCGTGTGCCTGTGCCTTTGCGTGTGCGTGTGCGTGTGCGTGTGCGTGTGCGTGTGCGTGTGCGTGTGGGTGTGTCTGTGTGTGTGTGTGTGTGTCTGTCTGTCTGTCTGTCTGTGTGTGTCTGTGTGTGTGTGTGTGTGTGTGTGTGTGTGTGTGTGTGTGTGTGTGTGTGTGTGTGTGTGTGTGTGTGTGTGTGTGTCTGTGTGTGTGTGTGTGGTGTTGGTGTTCCCGGTTCGGTTGGGTTTGGCAGAACACCGGCCCTCTCTCCACACCTACTCCTCCATACAGTGTACATTGTATGTGTGCGTGCTCGAGTTGAGTTGAACAGCTGAGCCTGTGCACTGTCGGTTTGGTCACACTGCAGTCTTGTCTGCAGAGTTTGCCTTGCGTTTTCCCGCCCACCCACCCTGGTTGCTGAGCAGCTGGGTAGTGGGGCCGGGGCTTAGATGGGCCAGTTGGCTCTTGACTGTTGCCCGGCATTTCCTGCAAAAGGTTGGCGCGCCCCTCCCTTGTGTTGTGCATACGGGGTTCCGGAGAGTAGGTTTGGTGTAGAGTGTGTGTGTGTGTGTGACTGTGTGTGTGTGAGAGTGCATGAGTGAGTGAGTGAGTAGTTAGCCTGTTTGCTTGTGTGCTTTTTTGGTGTGTGTGTGTGTGTGTGCGCACGTGTGGCTCGCTAAATTGTGCGGAGCGAAGCGAAGCACATGAGTCGTCTCGTGGGTTTGATCTTGTATGGTAAGTCCGAGCACAGCTAGCTGCTCGAGCCGGGTACAGTTTGTGGATAGGCCGGGCAGAAAGGGATCCTAGCCGCTTTTAGGTGCCCACCGCCGCCCCATGCGCCTCCGGGAAATTTGTGGTTCCATGCTAGACTCTCAAAACGAGAGGATGTCACAAGCCTTCAACTGCGCATCCCTGGTAGCGAGGTGCACGCGTGCGTGCATCCAAGTGAGATCTGAGCGTGCTGACGACGCGTCTAGTTGAGTGTTGCGTGGTCCTGCGTTGACGCTGAGTGTCATGCTGCAGCAACCGTGCTCTCAGGGCCAGTGTGTCGTGGGGGCAAAAGTGTAGGGTTGCTTTGTGAGATTTGTTCCAAGTTGTGGTTGGGCTAGTGTGGTGTCGTACTGGAGTGCGACCGCAGCCCATTTTCGACTTTCTCACCCTCCACAACCCTCGAAAATAGGGCAGGGGGGTTCTAGTACGACTTGACCTGGCCAGTGTGTCCGGTTGTCGAGGGGGACGCGTGCGCCTCCCTGGGTTGTCGTACTGGCTTGTCTAGAGTGATTGTGTGATCTAGACGTTCGTCCACCTTTCTGCAAAACAGGTAAAAGTGTCTCGGCGGGCAGGGTGGGCTTGATGGTTTGTCTCAGTACAGGGAAGATCTCGAAAAGATCAGAGCGCGAGTTGTCTGCATGTGGGTGTCACGGCAGTGAGGGCTGGCGGGTGGGGTTTCTTGCGTGTAGTAGAAAACATAGAGACTGTAACTGTGTTTGTGCAAGCAGTGTCAGCAGATTGCGTTAGGGACTGCTGGAACAGTCCGCTGTCATTATGATGCGAGGTTGTTGTGTCTTGGTGCTTGTGCTGCAAGCTGCTGCCCAGCAGTTTGCGCCGTTCGACGCAGCTACAGCTTCCAGCGTCTATTCCTCGAAGACGTTCGGTGCAGGCCTGGCGACGAGCGAGTCCTCCGGATATTGGTGCAGCGCTGGGGACCATGAACCTGGGCAGAGCGTGTCTTGGACTGGCGTGTTCAAGGCGCGGAGGCAGCTCCTTGGTGTAACGTTGCGATGGAGCTACGCTCCCGGTGAAGTCAAAGTGCTCACCAGCTCGGACGGTGGTAACTTCGAGGAGAGTGTCGGTTGGCGAAAGCTTTCGAGGCCAGAGCCCAGCTTCGAGGACACAATCTTGTTCCCCGAGCCAGTGGCTGCAAAGGCTGTGAAAGTTTTGATGCGTGGCGCCAAGCCTTGGGGGTATTTTGGCTTGTCCAATGCAGTGGCGATCGCAAGGCCGTCTGCCTTCATGCTGGTCAGCGGTGTCCCAGCAGCTCAGGAGCAATGTGTGGTCGCGTCAAGCAGCGGTGTGGCAGCAAAGTCTTGCATAGATGCAGTTGTGGGCGGCACGGGTGCAGAGATCTTTGCAGGTGCAGGAGGCAAGCTGCAGGCGCTGGGCGGGGGCTGCCTGGGTGTTGTGGCTGGCAAATTGTCCTTGATTGAATGCCAAGAAGGCCAAGGGTCATGGGTCGTCACTCAAGATGGGCAAGTCAAGCAGGGAAACACGTGCCTCGTAGTGACGGGAGCACAGGTGGCAGTAGCCGATTGCGAAGACGCCGCGTTGAGTGGTGGCGACAAGTTCTTTCAAGTGGCAGTTCCAGACCATGACCCTGCCGCCTCGGTTGCAGTGCAAGAGGTGGGCGCACTGCTGCGCGCCAGTGTGCAAAGGCAGCGTGCGCTTGTTGCTGCACTCCAACGTCTCGTTCCAAGATTGGACTCTTGCAAGCCGAGGACCAGCTTGGCTGTCAAGCAGAGCTGGCCAGCCTTCCTCCAGTCACGATCGTCGTCGAGGCGGGTGGATGCTGAGTCCTTGCCGGCCAAGGTGGGTGCCAGCTTTGGCCCTGGCGGCGCGGAGCTTGATGCCGTGCTTGCAATGTCTGCAGATGTCCTCCAGCTGCTCGCAGCAAAGCGCGTTTGAGCCCAACCCGTCCGACAGCCCAAAACGCTAAGGTGCTGTGTGCCCCAAGAGGTCCCTTGCGTGGCAAGCGAC